ACCTCCGCCTTCGTCCCCCTGCATCCCATTTCCGGGTGCCGCAGGCGCCCCCATGCGCACGAGCGGAGTCGCTTGCCCCAGCCCACGAGCGTCGTCTACGTCGAGGTCGGACTCACTCCTCGAGTCTTCTTGCCCCCTTCCATCTTGACGTGACGCGTCCTCATTGCCCTCGAGTACTTGTGGCCTTCCTCGGCCAACGTGGTAAGAGAAAGGAGGTTGTAGGGGGCTTCGGGTACAAGAGCTGCATTCGGAATGGGTACAGGCACCCAACCACCTTGCGAGTTGAGGACTACGACCACGTCTCCGTATCCTAGGAGGGGAACAGGGGCTTTCTCACCACCAATTCCCCGCACCCAACCGTTACACTCACGGTAGTTCACGAAGGCATTCGCACATCGGAACATGGAGCACGTGGCTGCCGTGTCAGCCACGTACTGCATGACATCCTGGCCAAGTTCCTCTTGACCAAGATCAACGATCCCACACTCGCCTGGGGGTTGTGCCACGGCACAGAATGCCTAGTCAGTGGCGGAGTCGTCGTCGCTCACGTAGCTCACGGCTTGAGCCAGGACAGCCTCCTCCGTAGCGCATTTGTCCTCCTTGTGACCCCACCCTGCGCATTTCCCGCAACGGGGAATGAAGTCCTTCTCCTCGGCGATGCAGTCAGCAACCTGGTGCCCGACGTGACCGCACCGGTAGCACCGGCCAGGGACCCTCGTGCCCCCGCCGCTGCCGCCGCCGCCTGCTCCTTCACTTCCATTACCCTTGCTCTCCTCGACGCCGCCGCCGCCCCCGCCGTTGCCGCCGCCGCATCCACCGCTACGACCGCCGCGTCCACCATTGCGGCCGCCACGACCTCGGCCGCCACGACCGCGGCCACGGCTAGACGACTGCCCCTTCCGGCCGCCGCCGTCGGTGACGTAGNACCGGCCAGGGACCCTCGTGCCCCCGCCGCTGCCGCCGCCGCCTGCTCCTTCACTTCCATTACCCTTGCTCTCCTCGACGCCGCCGCCGCCCCCGCCGTTGCCGCCGCCGCATCCACCGCTACGACCGCCGCGTCCACCATTGCGGCCGCCACGACCTCGGCCGCCACGACCGCGGCCACGGCTAGACGACTGCCCCTTCCGGCCGCCGCCGTCGGTGACGTAGGCCCTTTCGTCGCCTCGTGCGCCGTTGCGTTTCTTTTGTTTCTCCAGGATCGCCTTGTACTCGATTACGATCTCCCTCATCGCTTGCTCCTTGGTCAGCTTTTTCGTGCGTCGCAGGGCATGCTTCGTCATAGCGTACTCATCCGAAATGGTGGACACAAAGCGGTGGAGAACAAATCCTTCGTTGATACCTAGCCCTTCTTGGTTAAGTCGTTCACCAGTTGCTAGCATGTCGCGGAGAACAAATTGTGGGTTCTTATTCGTGGGGACCGTAAATGTCACGAACGCATCGAAGTCGTCACCGACTGCATTGCTGATTCCGGGTCGTACATTCCTTTTAACTCCCGGATGGCCCCCTGGGGCGTCTCTGCCCTTTTCATCGTCTTTTTATCGTCCTCTTTGATGAGAGTGTGGTTCAGAAAATTCCACGCGTGAAACGCGAGCTCAACTTGCTCGGCTAGGTATTGTTGGCACAATGACGACTTGCTTCGTCCGCTATTCACGGGGATCTCCATTGTCCCATCCTGAAGGTGGTCCAACAGGTTTGCTCCATTTGCTACCAGGCAGAAATCCTGCAGCCATAATTTAAAATGTTTTGCTTTCCCGTCAAACGGGGGTGAGAAGTACCTCACGCTCTGGTATCCTGCACTCCCGACAGGAATACCGAAGCCGTCGGCAAAGCCAGCAGCAGCACCACCTCCTATGGTGCTACAAAAACCACCTGGATTGTGAGCAACTGCTACTCTCACCTCTTGGGGGACATAGCCCCCTGCTTCGCCGCTGTGTGGTCCTTCCGGACCAGAGTCTCCGAAACGTTCGCGCAGGTACGTGTCGTCCTGCGCGATCCCAGTCTGCGATTCCCCTTCTTGGACTTCTGCAGACGCCGCGGCGGCGCTCTCTCTAGCGTCACCGCGGCCAACGTCGCTCCCTCTGGCGTCGCTGGGCTCCTCCTCCTTCCGTGTTAGCTCGCCTACCAGTAGCGTCAACTTGCTGATCTGCTCTGCGAGCGAGCCTACATCCGCTTTGAGGCTCGTGAGCTCTGCCGAGCTCTGGTCTCCCTCCGACGGTCCGCCAGGGATATTTTCCCCGGCTACGCGGTCCGCCATTTCCTAATGGACTCCCTCGAGGGATGTACACTAGTGTATTCGTACGTTTGTACGTCCTTTACTTGCAAGGGGGAGATTTGTTTTATCTTTTGCGTTAAGCACGGGGAGCGGAGGAAGAGTGAGGTCCCGATAAGCTCGAGAGAGCTCGAGTGGTTCCACCGCATAGGTGCCACCGCATAGTACCCGTCATGGTATACCTATGCCCCCATCTGCGTGTTCCCGTTGTTGTCGGCAGATCTACCAGTCCGTATCCAAACACACGAACACGCGGCAGCTTTATATCGCGTCGGACTTGGAGAATCTGCACGTACGTCACGGACAACACAGGGACTCCACTCCAGACGGAATGCTGCTGGTGAACGAAAAGGACATCATAAAATGGAAGAACACTGCTGCGCTGTTCAGTGTCCTGCACCTGACGACTATAGGAGCTGCAGGAAGGTGTGCTGACCAGGTTTGAAGCCAGAAGAGAAGGTGAATTCTCATATGGTAGAGTTGTGAATCGGAACGATGTACACGATATATATCGTCCGATATATATCGATATCGGTATCGAAAATTCGTGCCGATGTTCCGACCGATGTTTTCTTAGGGGCTCCGTGAATCAAATTTAGGGTATGCGCAGCAGTACGGAGCCCCTGTACGCCACACACACACAGCACAGCAGCGCAGAAACAGCAGACAACAGCACCATGTCCAGAACCAACCGGGAAGTAGACACAGGGAGAGACCGAAGGAGGGTACTGCTGAGGATACGCGACAATACATCAATCTTAATCTTTTTTTTTTTTTTCTACATTCCGTGCGATGTTTGCAGCTGAAGTCAAGCCCTTTTTGATGCCGCATTTGGGCCCATTTTGACGGGAAATGAAAGGAAAATGCACCAAATTTTCTGCCTCCGGCGGCGCCTCCGGCGAGGCCCCCTCACCAGCCGGGGGGGGCCGATGGGGGGGCTCGCTTCGCTCGCCCCCATCACGGCTCGCTGCGCTCGCCCGATATTTTCTCCGATATATCGCCTACGGCGATATATCGGAGAAAATATCGTTATATCGGCTGCTGCGCAGCCGATGTAAAATATATCGTTTTTTCGTACCGATTCACAACTCTATCATATGGGCATGCAACCTGGCGGTTAATGCGAGACAAATACGAAAACAACTCTATCTAGACTAGTCAGCGTCGTCGCATACTTACGCGTAAGTTAGACAACTGCCGTGTGGAGCACGGTCAAGACCCTGACCACGCTGGTGGCCCGCCGCCATCTGGAGGTGCGCTACCTGCTCATGCGAGTGGCCCTCCGCCGGCTGAAGGTGCGCTACATGCTCACGCTGGTGGCCCTCCGCCACCTGGAGGTGCGCTCCCTGCTCATGCGAGTGACCCTCTGCCACCTGGAGGTGTGCTACCTGCTCGTGCAAGTGGCCCTCCGCCGACTGGAGGTGCGCTACCTGCTCACGCTGGTGGCCCTCCGCCGGCTGGAGGTGCGCTACCTGCTCATGCGAGTGGCCATCCGCCGGCTGAAGGTGCGCTACCTGCTCACGTTGGTGGCCCTCCGCCGGCTGGAGGTGCGCTCCCTGCTCATGTGAGTGGCCCTCCGCCGGCTGGAGGTGTGCTACCTGCTCACGCGAGTGGCCTCTGCCACCTGGAGGTGTGCTACCTGCTCGTTCGAGTGGCCCTCCGCCGGCTGGAGGCGCGCTACCTGCTCATGCGAGTGGCCCTCTGCCATCTGGAGGTGTGCTACCTGCTCGTTCGAGTGGCCCTCCACCGGCTGGAGGCGCGCTACATGCTCACGCGAGTGGCCCTATGCCATCTGGAGGTGCGCTACCTGCTCATGCGAGTGGCCCTCCGCCGGCTGGAGGTGCGTTACCTGCTCATGCGAGTGGCCATCCGCCGACTGGAGGTGCGCTACCTGCTCACGCTGGTGGCCCTCCGCCGGCTGGAGGTGCGCTACCTGCTCATGC